AACTCTAAAAGAAATAAATAGTTAAATGACAAATAAACCCTTAAAAGTTAAAAGAAAATACTTAAAAGGTAAATCCTAAATTACTCTCATGATTAATCTAAAATATTTATCCAATTTCTACATGATCCCCATCAGTTGGGTTCTCAGGCTCTGTTATATATTGTGTATGACTTGGCTACTTTTTTTTTTTTTGATAGTAGACGAGTAGTATTATAAATATCTAATTCTCTAAGGCAAAAGTACAAAAGAGAACAAGGAGTCCTCAACAAGATACAAAAAGCAAAGAGAAAAAAAGAGGAGAGTAAATATCCAAAAAGCTAGAAAGAAAACTTAGTAGAAGTCTAGGGAAGTACAGTGAAATGATAAAATGTCGACCAGCATCTACGCTCTACGCACATTTGAGCTAAATGATCTAAGTGTGTGGCTTGACTACTACTAGGTTCCATTTGGCTACACCAAATTTATGGGCTTGGAGGAAAAATCCGTTCGGGCATGTTTGATCATATGATCTATATCTATACTACTAATAAAAATACATTAAAATGAAAAAATTTTGAATCTCTATTTTACCTTATAAAAGATTGCAAAGATCACTCTATTTTTTCACAATTAAATATCTAAATTACTATCATATCTTTATGTCTATAAATCTCTAAATTATCTATAACTTCTTTTTTAATTATTTAATTAGTTTTTGTAAATGTTTTTGATTGATTATATTACCCTTAAAAAATATTCATCATTATATTTTCAATAAAGTGTTCAAAAAACCTTCAAAAACTTCATCAATCTAATATTCCTCATCTCATATGCAAAGATAACATTGTGCCTACATATGTGTATTTTTTTTTATCGAAAAGTTTAACTGATAAAAAATAATTGTATATATAGTTTTTCAAAATTAATTTATGTTACATCTGTATAATTCTTTAGTCATAATAAACTTTCTAAGTTGTACTAAATTTTTATGTAAAAATATATATTGTAGTGTATTTTTAAGTAAAGTTAAGTTTTTTAGATTTTTAGTATGCTTGATAATATATATTATAGAGTAGTATATTAAATATTATCCTAATTGACCTAACTAATTCCTAATTAAAGTAAGGTTCCAATATAATTAGTATATTGATAATTACTTTTATTTTATTCAAGGAATTATAAGTGGGATCCTAATCAAATGAATTTCAAAAAAATTTATTCCTCAAACATCACTAAAAAATCAATCACAATCAAAAAATTCTAAAAAAATAGAACTTCAGCAATTTCTTTTTTTATCTTTTTTTTTAATATTTAGAATAAAGAATTTTAAAAACATACAAAGTTTTCATAATCTTATAATAGAATGAGTAATAAAAAATCAAGTTTGGTAAATTTGAAATGATATATATATATATATATATATATATATATATATATATATATATATATATATATATATCTAATATATTTTATTAATTTTTGTATACGAAAATTATTCACATGCAACATACGTGGTGCCATTGCTAGTAGGATTAAATATTTATATTTTTTTTTGCATGCCATCTAAAACTACACGTGTTGTTTGGATAAGGAACATCAAAGAAATTAGATGGGATAAATTATAGTATTTTATGCCATTGTGCTCTTTATTTTCTTTCTCCAATTAATTTTGTATCTATTGATGGCTTCTTAGTTAATGGCCCTTGTAATTTATGAGTGGTTTCCAAAATGCAGTATGAATATGCTGGATAATTAATTCCATGGTCAGATTTTCAATGTGCTACTCTGTCATTCGTTTTCACGCTCCAAGAACCGATTCTGGTGATTCTGGTGTTTCATCTTTTGCAACACCATGATCGTTAGTATTTGTCACATTTTTCTGGTTTTGGCCAATAATTTAACGAAATAAAGCTTCCTAGCATTGACCTACCTTAACTCTTTACATCAGTATGACATTAATTTCATGAGATGTTCAAATGAACCAAGGAATATTTCTGATTCTTGAAACATTGGTTTTTTCATTTTCACATTTTCTAATATTTTAGAAGAGTAGTTATTGCACGTGAACCAATTCGAATTTGAATTTTTTATTATGATTTTTGTTTTAAATTCTATTGAACATATGTGTTTGCACATGTACAAACATTGAACCAAAAAAGAAAGGAAAGAAAATTACCTTTTTTGGACAAAATAAAAAATAACCAAATGATACAAATAAAATTCACCATCCATGCACATGCATCTATACAAAGTAAGTTTGTAATTGAGGTAAATGAAGTTAATTTCTTATATTGTGTTCCGATTATTATGATGTAATTGAGGTAAATGAAGTTAATTTCTTATATTGTGTTCCGATTATTCTGATGGTTTTGTTCATATTCTTATTCTATATATTTTGTTTGTAGTCATTGAACATCGAAGACAAATATGCAAGGATTTTTGTTTTTAGCTGTCGACTAAAGTTATGGCCACAAGATTTAAGAGATGAAAATATCTAACATTTAACTGAAATTTCTGCCATTTATTTGATGGATATGTCAAGTCTATTTAAGATATAACTCTAGACTTGAGAAATTTTATACTCTATGGTGTTGTAAACTCTTACCTCAGTTAATTTCAATCAAACTAATGTTTTTTTGTAGTTTTTATATTCCGTCAAGTCCACAAATGTTAACTATTTTTGCTTGATTTCAATAATGCATTACATAACCATAGGCGAATCAAATATTATTGGTATATCAAAAAAAAATTTTTGTCATTTTTTGCTTATTGGAAATACAAAGATCATCAAACAGTGAGCACTCAAAGCAATTTGCAATAATCTGAAGGCTACAAATTTTGTAATTTGACTAATTAAGGAATAAAAAGGAACTTACATCTTTGTAACTTAGGCCACAATCTTACTTTGTGCAAAAAATACTTGCAGTTTTCACTTCTATATTCTTCCCCAATCCATCCCCTATGTACAAGGAAGAGCTTACATAGAATAAGAAAAAGGGAGTGAAAAAAAAAATCCCCATAAGTTATAAAATACAAAGATAATATAGTTAACACACTTTTCTTGTGAAGTATCTAATTAAATCATGTGAGTCTGAAATAAGGCAAGATCATGTCAAAATTTATTCTGAGAACTTGAAAAAAACATTTAAGTATATTGGGTGCTTATATTTATATAAGAAAATCACAACAAACTAAAGAGAGCTAAAATGTCACAAAAAGATTTAAAATCAATAATTATTCATTTCATTATGGGCTATATGGAGCCGTTACAAATTTAACTATTTGTAAGAGCCACAAACTTATGCAATCAATAAGTAATCATTGAGATATCATAGAAAGCATTTATTCCTTGGGACAACTATTAATTATTTAATTTAGGAAGATAAAAGGGTATGAGAGAATTGGGTAATTAATTTTGTAAAATGTTATGCACATAATTAATTTAAGGAGAATAAAAGGTACGGGATGATTACACAATTAATTTAAGAAGATGAAAGGATATTAGAGGATATGTTTAACTTTATAAGATTGACCAATGAAAAGAAAGAAAACATTTAAAAAAATTATTTTTTTAGGTGAACCTCGACATTGCAATGAAAAATTTTATTTGTTTGAAAATAAGGTTTTTAATTAAAGTTGAAAACTTTAAATGAATATAATTTTTTTAAAATAAAAAATGAATATAATTAAAAGTTAAGATTATGTGCATAATTAAATTAAGAAGATGAAAGGGTATCAGAGAATTATATAATTAGTTGAAGAAGATGAAAGGAAGGTTGATCATGAGAATTAGTTACTTTATGAAGGCTATTATAATCAAACAAAAGTTTTTCACTTTTGTTGACACTTTGTAATAGTATAGATAGATATAGATTATGTGATACTCCTAGAAGAGTGTGAGAGACACTATTCACTATTTTATTTTTTACTACTTGAAGAACAAATCTAGCCATCAAATATTACTATAACATGAGATTTTGTCATGAATTTTTTGTTTTTAATGTATTCATTTTTTATCTAAAAATGGAGGCCTAGGGGAATACATTTTTCGAAGATTTTTTTGATTGATTGCTTGCTAGCTTTGTTTCAGTTTATTTTTTGAATGTTCCTTGTGTATTGATGGAAACAAATTCTTTTCTCCTTGATATGCCTTTTACTGGGAGAAAATTGCTCTATAAGCATATGCCAATATTGTATGTCATTCCCGTAAATTGCCTTCAATTTCATAATTGGTAATGTTTTTTTTGGGTCAATATTGGCAATGCTTTTACTCTAGGAGTATGAATCATCATTACACGTATTATGTCTTATAAATGACATGCAACTGGATGACCACAAGTGCCTTAGCCTTTTTCTTCGTGACAAATAGAGTGATCACTCATGCCCGTGAAGTTGGGTCCATATCCAATTACATGCATTGAAGAAAAGGCTGATAGGAAGCTAGTGGTACTAGTCTTCAGATCTATATTTTGTGAGATTTTCTCTACACATACATGCCTAGGTGTAGCTTTTTTGTTTACTTACTAGGAGTAACCTGTGCTTGAAGGCACGGTACAATGTACATGAGAAGTGATGGATTGAGGGGGAGGGGGAATTTAATGTGAATGAATTTGAGAGGGATATTGGTGGCCGTTAGATGAGTCTATTTGAGACCGTTGGATGGACTTATTGAAGCTTGTCTTATTTTATATTATAGATAAGTAGTACTTGACTTAGATATGGAGAATGAGATATGCTCTCTAGTGGCTTGAACCCATAGTGAATCCAATAACTACCATAAAATTAGTTGAAGTGCAAGCACATGCTGTTTACATTTTGTTAAGATTATGCACGAGGAGTTATAGTAAAGCTTCCCTTTCATACCCACATACACAGACTGCCCCCAACTCCAACACGCACAAAAAAAAAAAAAACAAAGAAAAAGAAAAAAAGAGGCTGTGGTCTGATCCTACCATGAACTACATGGCTACTTTTGCAGTAGTAGAGTCGTTTTTGCAATTAACAGTTTCAGATGACTAGTGCACTCTTGTATTATGTTTGAATCTTGAATCCAAATCAGTCAAGTTATGGGGTTGACAGACAGTTTTTCATCAGCTTTGGGGGATTAAATTGAATTGTTTGTTTAGCAGTAGGATGGTAGGAAGTGCAGGAGGAAAAAGGGTAAACTTCCCATGTTTGTTTAGCTAGAAACATCTTCTTTCTCAGGGAAGTTAGATACCTGTATCTGCCAAATTTTTTTTTAAATATCCTCTTTAGTTTCCCACCAAATAAATGTAGAAAAAATTCCCCTCAGCAGAATTTCTCTCAATCCCTCACATTCTGCTATGGGTGATCTCTGACTGGCTAGCTTCTGGTTGTCCAAGAATTAGAGTGAGTAAAGTGGGATTGAGGCATGTTTAAAGGAAAGCAACCCTCAACTCAGATGGGCCATAATAAGAGCATGATGTAGATCCAAAATTGACTAATGGTTTTATGGTCTTCATCATCATTGCCGCTGATGTTTTTAGATTTTGAGCCGGTGTCTTTGATTGGAAGTTGTAGCAGCGGGCAAATGTAGTAGCATGTTCTCCCCTTCTGGGTGCTGACTGATCCATGGTTGAGAATCGCAGATTTGATTGAGTAGGGATATTCTATCCATAAACAAGAGTAGGCATATGTTGATGGGTATAGATTGAAGGAACAGTGGCTAGTGTTTTGGTTGTGCTGTGGAGAGTGGCTAGATCTGGTGGTTCTTTGATTGTGTTTGAAACTTTGTTGTGCTTGAAACAGTTGGAGGCCAGTGGATGATTGATGTGTGAGTGTTATGGTGGCATAGAGGTGGGTGGTGATGCGGAGATTTGATTGGTTGATGATGGGGGAAGTAGTAGCGGGAGGTATGGTGCCGGAGAGATTCAGTGTGTGATATAGACACTTTGTTAGGGAACTGTTGTTTTTTTTTTTGCTGGGCCTCTGTTAGTGGAACTTAAACGGTTAAAATCTTGACAACAAAAGGAAAGGGAAATTTATACAATCATAGACATTTTCTTGACAGTTGTCAAACACAACTTTCATCTTAAACAAACGAAAGCAGAATAGTACATTTGTTTTTCATTTTTTTTTACTTCACTTTTTATCTCTCAAGTTTTATTGGGTACGCCTTATATACCGCTTTTGGGAAACCTTTTCAACTAAGATCCGTTCGAGGAACATGGGGACTAGATGAAGTAATGAATAATTATTTTCATCTTTTTAGTTGGAACTTTAGGCGATAGTGAAAAAAATTATCCCTATTTTATTTTATACTTTTTTTCCCTGCTCAGACAGATCTTTAATACATTTCGGTGTGAAAAAAAGTTGGTGGATGAGGACCCAAAATAAGTTGGTTGTTTTTGGTGGGTTGTCTTGTGGAGTGATATTAATTTTAGCTTAAACATAGTTATATAACTCTGGGCTCCTCCCTTGCTGGAAATTCTTTGCATGTGTTTTTACTTATTGTTGTGAAGACGTATAGGGGTTTTTGGTTTGTTTTCTTTGTTTTTTTTTTCATTTATATGGTTTTTGTGGATACTAGCTGCAAATAATCAATGGGAAAAAAAGTGAGAAAATAACTGCTTTATTTGTGCGCCTTTGCTTGTAAGTTTTTATTTCCATCTTTGGGGTGTTGAGATTTTGATTTCATTGAATAACTGATTATCTTTTGTGATAGGTTCGTTTTACTGTGTTGAATGATTGCTTGCCATTGGCAGAAGAAAAGTTCAGAAAGGTCATTAAAGAAAACTACTACACGAGGAACAAGTTCAACTGTCAATTGACCTCGGAACAGGTCTGCTATCATTTTTGTTGCAGTTTTAATGTTTTTTAAATATGCAGAAATGTAAGTAGCATCAAAACAATTTGGATTCTAATGTAATATGCATCTCATGCCAATATTTGGCTGCATAATATAGGTGAAGAAGTTGTGCAAGCTTTTTGTTACTGCCAGCGAAGGCCCCAAATTGGAAAAATTGACTCGCAGTCTTAGAGCTGAGACTCATAGATCTTTAGACCACGAGAGAAATAGAAGGCGGGGTAAAGAGAGACGCTCAACATTGGGTGGGGAGCGGGAGCGTCGGTATTACGAGCGTCCTGTTAGGTATGAGAGAGAAGTTTTTGCATCTCCTGTGGCACCGGTGTCTCGAGTTCGGCCTTTACCTCAACCAGCTCTCCTTCCGTCATATGCATATGAGAGGACCTTGGAGATGGATCCTTACAGACGGGACCCATTATCAGATCATCGAGAGGCTTACAGACGGGACCCATTATTGGAGCATCGAGATGGTTACAGACAGGACCCATTATCAGAGCATCGAGATGGTTACAGACGGGACCCATTATCAGAGCGTCGAGATGCTTACAGACGGGACCCATTATCAGAGCGTCGAGATGCTTACAGACGGGACCCATTATCAGAGCCTCATGATGCTTACAGACGGGAACCACTGTTTGAGGATCGTGTTGTTTACAGACGGGATCCATTATTAAAGCATCATGATCGCAGGCATTCAGAGTTGGAATCAAGGCATCTGGATGATAATGCTAGGCGTGATGCCTATAGCTCATACAGAGAACGCCCTGCGGTGTATTCTGTAGGCCTACCCCGAGAGCACAATCCCCCAGCAGACTTGCCACCTGAATACCACCGTGAACGCCTACTGCCTGAGTACCGTTCTTCTGCAGGTCCACTACCTGAGTACCATCGTTTTCAACCCCTGTATCGTTACTAAACTGTCGTTTTTAAAATGGGAAGGCTGTACCATTAGACTCTGCTCTGGAAGTTACAAGGTTTATTAGGTATGCAGTACTGTGCCGAGCTTTATTTGACAGTAAAAGTTTCTGATACGGCTAGACATTCAGCTTTGAGTTCGTATCAGTAACTGACAACGGGAGACTCCTTTTCATATGTATGTGTTGCATGTTGATGATACTAGGGAGAAATAAACTTCTGTGGTCTTCCTACAATTTTATTTTTTTTGTTTAATTGCCTTCTATTTAGTTTTCTTTTATTATATGAAAAAAAAACCCTTTAAGGCCATTTACCCAAAAACATCTGGGTAAAACTCGAATCTAAATTTCTTCCAATCTTCCCTTATATTAATGGGTTATGCAGATAATCGGGCGTTTTTTATATAGTGTCCTTGCTGCTAGTGAAGAGCATTGCGAAGTTAACCTCTATAGATGATGCTGTGCTTTGTAAATTTGTTTGTTAAAACTTTAGAAGCTACAGAATAATGGCTTTTGGTGGCACCATTGCTACTTATGGATCATGCCTTCTAGCATAGGTCGTCACTCATGTACACGTTTCTTCTTATTTTACCTTTATTAAAGTTGTTTGGGGTCTAAACAAACAGACCTAATTTGCTGAAAAAGCACAAAGAAAGTGCTTTTAGTTGATGAGGCATGAGTATTATTTTCCAAGTGTGTCTATTCATTTATTTTTTTTGTTCAACGGCAAAAGATGTTGGGATCAGTTTATAAGTATTTCGACTAATCTTTTTCTTAGTCTTATTAAATGTAGGTTATTTATGCCGAGAGTAAGATATTTATAAATAATAAATCACTCATAATTTGACCCAAAAAATTTGCTAAATTTTAAATATCTGAATTTATAACTCGTTTTTATTATCACTTAGATTTATTTTTTTCGAGTTATAAGTATTTATTTGTCCAAAAAGGAGGCATAGGCAGGAAACTGGTTAATTGGGTACACTTTTTTAGCTGCGTACATGAAGGGTTTTTCTGTACATTCATTATTTTCTTTTGAAAGGTGACTCTTCTCAAACTTTAAAACACTTGATTTCTTATTCAGGCTCAGAGCACCAACATGAGTAACTCGTTGGTTTTGATTCAGCAAAGACGGATGCTCTCTCTCTCTCTCTCTCACACACACATATGTTTGGAGGTAATGATATCTTTCCATATAATTATTAACTTGACCAGGGGCGGAGCCACCTTGGACCAGAGTGGGCATGTGCCCCTCAATTTTATTTTATTTTTGGACATTAGATATATATTTTTTAAAATAAAATTTAGATATATTTAATTGTGCCCCTCCTCAAACTTTTTTTTTACATTATATATATATTTTTTAAAATAAAATTTAGACGTATTTAATTTTGTCCACCTTATTATTGTGTTATTATGATATCGATTAAAATAGACGATTATTTAAATAATAATTAATTTTTTAATAATATTATTAGAACTAATATATTATGATATTAAATCTAATAGTGAATCCATACATTTAATATCGTTTACTATCCATCAATGGTCGCAAACCATTGAGTTTCTACCAATTAAATTTTGATTTTTTTTGGTCAAGATATAAAATTAAATTTCGAATTAGATGCAATTACTATTATTCTTAAATTTTTAGGGACAAACATGTCTGAATAATTATTAGACGGGTCGAGGTTATTTTTCTAAATTATAGGATTATTTTGTTATTGTATAGAAATGAGCGCCATTATGTAATAAATTACAGGGTAATAAATGAAAGACAGTTTTTACCATTTTGTATATAAAAAAAAAGTATTTATTAATATCATTGATTTGTAATTCTTTTAAATGATAAACAACAATCAGATTCAATTGTAAAATGATAATAATTAGTCTCATGTAAAGTTTTAATTAATTTACTTTTATTTTTTGTTTGTTCATTCCATGCAAATCGTTTTTTAACTTTTTATGTTTAATGAATTTTTACGCATAATTATAGTAAATATGAATTTATGAATTTCTGTGGTCAATTGAAAAAAAATGAAAAATACTATTTAAATCTAATTTGATAACATAATTCAATGCACCCCTTTAATTGAAAGTAAACTTAATCTAACATTAAAATTTACAACTAAAATAACAGTTACATTGAATTAAGTCTATGACATTGATAAAAAAAATTAAAATTTATTAATGTGCCCACCCTAAAATATTTTTCTGACTTCGCCCCTGAACTTGACCATCACGAGCATACCCTGTCAAGAGGTTTCTAATACATAACCCAAGAATCTCCTTATGAGTGTAGTTTGCAGAGGATCTGTTTTACATATGCATAGGGCTTGAAAAAAGCATTTTAATATCTTCTCCGATTGCTGCAACATTTAGTCTATAGAAAAGTTAAGCAGACAAAAGAGTGGTCATTGTGAGTCTCTGACTGTCCATATGCTTCAGCCTCAATTGATCGATTATCTCTATCAGTTATCATCACCATGGCCAAAAGTCTTAACCGTCTTCAAGCTGCATTCTTTTTTCCTTTCTTTTGGTTCTATAGTTTTACCTATATATGGAAATCAAAACTGTCTCTTTGTTATCATTATTTCAACTTGAATCGAAAGTGACGTACGGACTAAGAAGAATACCATCTTTGTGGTGGAAAAGAAAGCTACTTATCGATGCATAAGATAAGAAAAATGAGAGATTTTTCTTCTTAGTAGGTAGGCAAATCCAAATGGCACAGTGTGAGCGACACCAAGTATCAGTTCCATAAATACTTGACTTAAACTGCTAGGGTTTTCTGAAACAATAAGTCAGCAGGCACAATTTGACTAATTCTTGGTATGAATGCGAAAATAACAGACTACCTGCCAACACGAAATGATAAACTGACGAAGTTAATGTCAAGATTGAATAATTGGTGCTATGTTATGAAAATGCATGATTTTTTATTTTATTTTTTTGTAATTTTTGTAATTATTGTTAAAATATTGTATGAATCACTGAACTAGAGAATTTTCAAGTTGAAAAAGCCAACATAGACATCAAGTGGAGTTTTCATTTCTTAAGTAGCTTATCAGTGGTGGGTATACTTTTTTTTTTTTGGTAGAGAGGAAGGAGTCATGTGTTATGTGCATCGACTCATATACAGTATGACTAATAATACTCATAATCTTGATTAATACTCGACATAAGTTCAAAATAATACATCACAAACTCCGATGATACACGTAATTCAGGTGGGTTAGTTTGTCAACAGTACAAGTTTATACCCCAATTCCTATATCAAAATAAAATGATTGATTCAATTTATTGTTAATTTTTCTGCCAAAAAGTCAAACTCAGCAGCTCACCATATTCATACAAAATGTAAGCATTCATTAGACAATGGTTCAATTTATACTAAATAGTCAAATGCTTCGCTCGGAAAATGTGAAATTATCTGAATAAAGCATAGATGTTGTAGTTTGACTGGGAGGAATTAAACCCTTCCTCAAGTAAGGACAAAGGAAGTTGGAACTGAGTTTTTCAAATGTACGTCACCGCTGGGATCTCCAACTTAATCATGGGCTCGTGCATGGACTTTAACACTAATGGTGCAAGGTGTGCGGGCTGAATCTTGCACAATATAAATACGAGAATAGATCTTTCTTTTGGTGAACTCGAGTGAGTCAATCGAGTGGTCAACTCTGCTGCTTGGAACAGCCTGTGAGGTCCGGTGGTAACCTAAAACGGTAATAGGAGACCCTCGTGGATCAATGGAACGATCCAGTAAGGCTGAGGAAGGCTCCTGGAATAAAGAAAAACAAGTTAGAAGGGTGCCGGAGTGTTTTCTGGTGTATCTCCTCCGACGATAAAATCAGTTTTTGAGAGAGAGGAAGAAAAAAACATTGAGTATAATTTGTAGCAAAGGTTTTTCGTTGCATACCGTCTTGCTTTTTGCGAGGAGTATTTATACCTAAAAAACTCATAATTATTATCAGTGTAGTCAGTAGGTGATCAATAGGTACAGGCAACGTGCGCACTGATTCCAATGAAGAATGTCTTTTCTTTTAACTGATCGGGATCCCGAGCAACCAAGGCTGTGTCATCTTCCATCGTTGCTTCTGAACATTCTGGAAGGAGTCGCCTCAAGTTTTTCAGAAAAAACTCCCTTTTTCATTCTGGTGAGTCCCAATATCTTTCCTCTCTTCGTCCTTCTGTCCCTTTTGATTTTTCGATAACTGGAGGTGTCTCTGGTTGCCACTCAGCGACCAATCCTCGGGAAGCTTCCTTGGGGATCTTTGAGGAAAAAACACCCTCCTTCACTTTTTCACTTTTTGGAGATGCCTCGTCGTCGCCCTGCCCCCGAGAATCCTCAGGCCAGTTCTTTAGGGTCAAGGAAGTATAAAGTAAAGGGTGGTGAGCAAATTAATAGATTTAGGGTCAAGTACAGCATCCCCCCGTACTTAGACATAGATGATTATAACCTGGCTGTGCACTCTCGTACCCTCGGGACCGAGGATGCAATACCTTTTTATACCAAAGCTATCATAGAGGGCGAAATTAGGTTCCCTTTGCCCCCTCTACTTCTCCAGTTCCTCTCCCATTTCCACCTCTTCTCCGGACAATGTTGCCTTAATGTCTTCAGGATAATTATGGGGGTCCTAGAGCTCAATAGGCGTCTCGGGGTAAATGTTGGGTTGAACGATATCTTTTTTTGCTATTCCCTCTTGAGAGTCATGCTTCAACAACACTTCTACCTCAAAGCCAGGGACCCATCTATATACCTCGTAACTCATCTTCCTGACTCGGACAAGGGGTACAAGGATGACCTACTTATCTTCAAGGGATCTTGGTAGAGAGGTGTCAGTCCCGAGTATAACGGTTTGTTATGCCCTTTGGAATGGAGAACGACAAGTACGTCGGTTCCTTCGGGTCTATTATTTTGTTCTTGAGATTTTCTACATGTTCATGACTGCTCTCTTTTTTGTTTGTGTGCAGATGTCCCTGCTCGGGAAACAGCTCCTCCCCCTCGATCATTGGTGAACTTTGCTGACCTAGTCACTGTCTGGAGATTTACTGGTGACGACAGGTTCGGCCGGGCTGCCCACATCCTCCTTTATTATACTCCCGGATATAAAAAGTTTTCACAGCTTCTCCAGCCTTTCGAGCCTTCGCGGTGGTCTGAAATTTTCGATCAAGCGGTGAGGCAAAAGGTCGAGGAGAACTTGAAAGAAGACCCTGACCGGGCTTTGGAGGCAGAAATAGAGGGTGAAGTTGAAGAGCTCAGGGTCAGAGAGAACTTGGTTCCTTCGCACGTCGAGGTGGGGACTT